ACAGATCTTCCAGTTGCCCAGCAGTAATCAGGAATCTGGATTTTTACAAAATGTGAACTGTTCTTTTTTTTTTTTTTCCCCAAGTCAAAGCTGTTTTATGATCATTCACATTATTTCATAGAAAAAGGAATGTAGCAAACGGGTCAGGGTTGCACAAAAAAACCAAACCAAAACAAAACAAAACACCCAGGTTTATAGAGGTTGCGTTATTTCCATCTGGGCACAGGGATCGTTCCTTACATCTGGGAACAGCCATCAGGCACAGCAGCTGCACTTGTCTGACGCCCCTTTGCAGATGCAGCCCTGGGCACGCTTGGCACAGCCCACAGGGCAGCAGGAGCAGCAGCTTTTCTTGCAGGAGGCGCATGTGCACCCTTTGCACTTGCAGGAGCTGGTGCGCAGGTGCAGGAGTCACGGGGCGCAGGAGCAGCTGGGATCCACGGCGAGCTGAAGAGGCGGCTGGAGTTGGGACATGGCTGCACGCGAACTCGCTGTGACTTGGAGGAGGCGTTGAACTACTTAAATGCAGACAACTGATTCAAATTATGGACCAAACAAAACACATCACATTTGGCCTGACGGCTGCCGTTTGCGACCTTTAGATGAGATGGGCTCTTTAAGTTTCTCACAAGTTAAAAATTGCATGACTCTTTAGCAATACATTTTAAACCTAGCCAGTTCTCCCGTATTACATTCCCTAAATTGTTTCCTTGTCATTTGTATTTGTTGGGCTGTCAGTCTCCCATGTGAGCACTCTGGAATGTGTTATTAGAAGAAAGTACAACTTCTTTTGCCTCTGCCTCTGACATAAAGTAACCGAATGTGTTGCTCCCAGACCCTTATCATCAGTGTCTGAAGAGTGTGTCTAATCTCCTAGGATGGCTGACTCTGGTGTGCATGCAGGTGCTGGAATAAACAGTCTCCTTGCAGTGTGACACACACTCCTCTGTTCCTTTGTCTGGATGCACATTTTTAATCCTTTCACCTATTTCGTGTAATGTTAATTTGTAAACTAATCTAAGTAGGCCGGGTGCGGTGACTCATGCCTGTAATCACAGCACCTTGGGAGGCTGAGGCAGAAGGCTCACTTGAGGCCGGGAGTTTGAGACCAGTCTGGCCAAGATGGTGAAACCTTGTCTCTACTAAAAATACAAAAATTAGCTGAATGTGGTGGTGCATGCCTGTAATCCCAGCTACTCGGGAGGCTGAGGCAGGAGAATGGCTTGAACTGGGGAGGCGGAGGTTGCAGTGAACTGAGATCACACCACTGCACCCCAGGCTGAGTGACAGAGCTAGACTCCATCTCAAACAAAAACAAACAAACAAACGAATTAAAAATAAATAACCTAGTCCCAGTAGGAGGGAACTCAACAATGAAAGAAACACTTGAGGCTCAGAAGCTCAGGGAAAGGAATGAATGATAAACAGTAAAAAATAGAGGAAGTACCTGACAACGAGAAAACCAAAGGACAGTCATTAACTTCTGTCATATCCCATTTAGTGACACCTTCCCCAAAAGGAGTTCCTTTGGTCATTCCCTACAGTGTAGCCTTCCTTGGGCCTGGACGCAGCTGTCTGAGTTCCCCTCCACCTTCCCTCTTCGAAGAGCTGTCAAATTTGTTTCTAGTTAAACTGACCGGCTTGTGTTCTCTCTTTTTTTTAATTTGTATTTATTTTTATTTATTTATTTATTTTTTATAAAGATGGGGTTTCACCATGATGGCCAGGCTGGTCTTGAACTCCTGACCTTAGGTGATTCACCCACCTCGGCCTCCCAAAGTGCTAGGATCACAGGCATGAGCCACCACGCCTGGTGTGTTCTCTTTTTTATTACCCTTGGTCACTCATGAATAGGGCTCATCCTTTCCTCTGTATACATGGACCTTGAGAATCTTTACCTTTCAGCGTTTCAGTGGAATTGGCTTTAAGTTTCTAAATGACCCTCAAGATTAGAAAAAGAGGCCAAGTGCACTGGCTCATGCCTGTAATCCCAGCACTTTGGGAGGCCAAGGCAGGAGGATTGCTTGAGCCCAGGAGTTTGAGACCAGCCTGCATGACAAAGCAAGACCATGTCTCTCCAAAAAATTTAAAAATTAGCTAGGCATGGTGGTGTACACCTGTAGTCCCAGCTACTTGGGAGACTGAGGCAGGGAGACCACTTAAGGCCAGGAGTTTGAGCTACGCTTGCATCACTGCCCGCCAGCCTGGGGGACATGAGATCCTGTCTCAAAAAAAAAAAAAAAGATTAAAAAGTGAATAAGGCTCAAGGGTCAAGGGTCAATATCAAGAGAGAAAAACTCTCCCAACAAACTCCCTCTTCCTGAGGCAGCAGGAAGTATTACTGACAAAATTGGGTATTCACACATTTACAGAACTGGGAGACCTCTCTTTAACTACAAGTTCTCTACAAGAATCTTCAATTTCTTAATTTTCAGGATTATATAGAAATATATAATTTTTCTAAAAGCATGATTGGAGTCATTTTATAATTTTTTAACCAAGGACTAACGTGAAGTTTCAGGTAATTCATTTGTATTTCTGTTTATGATTGGACCATTGACAACTACAGTATTCACCTACACTATCATCTTTCACTCCTAATTCAGTACTTCTCAAGTATTTTCTTCGAGAACTCCTAGGATTGCTGAATTTTAAGTTGAAGAAATAATTGGTGTATGATGAAGGGTATATCAATATGCCACTCCAAAATATGCCTTTTGTCATATAGATTATTTTGAGCTAAAGCCAACTGAAAACTGTCTGAGGCAGGAAAAGCTCCCTATCTCCCTATGACTGCTTGAAAGTAGAGTATACATTTCCTCTTTTGTAAAGGGAACTTTAATTTGCAAAGGGAAGGAGCTACTCTTTTTTTTTTGTTTTGAGATGGAGTCTCGCTCCAGGACTTGCCCAGGCTGGAATGCAGTGGTGCGATCTTGGCTCACTGTAGCCTCTGCCTCCCGTGTTCAAGTGATTCTCCTGCCTCAGCCTCCTGAGTAGCTTGGATTACAGCTTTGCCCCACACCTGGCTAATTTTTGTATTTTTAGTAGAGACAGGGTTTCATCATGTTGTTCAGGCTGGTCTCGAACTCCTGACCTCATGATCCACCCGCCTTGGCTTCCTAAAGTGTTGGGATTACAGGTGTGAGCCATTGCATCCGACTGGCCTGGGAACTACTCTTGGAGATAGCACTTAGCACTTGAAAGACTCTTATCTGTTAAACAACACAATTCTAATTTACCACGTATTTCCTCCCCTCGCCTTCCTAATACTTGCCTCCCTCACCCCGAAACCAAAACCCCAAATCCTTTTTCCTTTGCTTAGCCTATGATGATACATAACCCTCAATCATCTGGCTGCCTCCTTGAGTCTCATTTCTTCATGAGCCTATCACGCATAGGTATGTATAAAACTGTTTTTCTCTTGTTAGTCCACCTTCTGTTGGCTTAACTTCCAGGGCCCCAGTTAGAAAACCTAAGAGGGTAGAAGAAAAATTATTTTTCTCCTCTACAATGGTTAGGAACCAGCCCCTGAAATGAGATACTCTTAGATGTTATTTAACCCAGCAGGTCATTTTACCTCTAAATTTCCTCATCTCATTGGGATGCTAATAAGGTTTAAATAAAATCGTGCTTAAAATGGACTGAGTACAGTGCCTGATATAGACAAATCACTAAAAACAATGCCAGCTACTTCTACTCTATGATTGCTACTACCAGTGCAGGCTACTTTTTAAAAATTGTCACCATTCTTGTTTTTGCTTCTATTTTTTGTCATATAAATTTAATCTAATATTTCAAAATAATACACAGACATAGGCTTAGGAGACAGAGTTGGTGGTTACTGATATGTTGCAATCTGAGGTACCCTATAAGGAACTACTTAATACTACTAAAAAATTTATTCCCCCACCACTAAATTTCTGTAATTCAAGATTCAGTCCTTATCTTCTTATATCAGAAACAGCTAGCTGTCTGCCAGAATTTGTGCTTCCCCTCTGGAGAATGGAGTTGTCACTGGAAACTGCTCAGACAAGGACTTCATTTCCCCACTCCTCATGTACCTGATGTAGCCTTCCTTCCTTCCTTCTAGTTCTAACCCGTGGAATCTGAGCAGAAGTGAGGTGTGGCATGTTCAGGTCAAGATTTAGGAAGAAGGTATACTTTCTCCATTCTTTCTCCTTCCACCAGCTAGATTCATTTACAGATTTTGCTCTAGGGGAAGAGTGAACCACAAGATGGAAGAAGACGAGATACTTGAATCACACTATGGAGGAAAGATGACCACCAATGAGACAGATGCTTTGGGTGCTTAAAATAATGAGAAATAAACATCTATTAAGTTTGAGCCATACATTTGGGGTCTATTATCTACTGCCTCTAACATTACCCTAATTAATAAAAAAATTGCTACCTTGAAAAAAGTACTGCAACAATAAATACCTAAATACCTAAAGTAAGTATTATTACTCTCTGAACACTTGGGTAGCAGGTAGCAAAAAAAAAAAAAAAAAAAAAGGAGATATTGGGGGCTGGAAAGATGGAGACCCATGTTATGCCTTGGCAAAGCATTTTATTTTATTTTATTTTATTATTTTTTGAGACTGAGTCTCGCTCTGTCACCCAGGATGGAGTGCAGTGGTAGGATCTGAGCTCACTTGCAACCTCTGCCTCCCAGGTTCAAGCAGTTCTCCTGCCTCAGCCTCCCGAGGAGCTGGGATTACAGGTGCCCACCACCATGCCCAGTTAATTTTTGTATTTTTAGTAGAGACATGATTTTGCCACGCTGGCCAGGCTGGTCTCGAACTCCTGACCACGTGATCCACCCATCTTGGCCTCCCAAAATGGTGGGATCACAGGCATGAGCCACAGCACCTGGCCTTTGTAAAGCATTTTAAAAACCATGTTTCTGATAACCTAAAAGACAGTATCCATTACTAGAATGGACCAATGACTGCTATGTATCCACAATTCTTCCCTTTCTTAATAGGGGCTTCTTTTTTTTTTTTTCATTTTATTTTTATTAAGCACTATGTAACACACTGCATGCTACATAATACACTGTATAACCTTCTAGCAGGGGTAAATGACCATAACTGAGTTATTTTTTTCATCAATCAGGAAAATGCTTCCTTAATCAATGTTCTCCAAACCCTTTGACATGTAGCAACGTTACATGTAGGAATGATCAAGTCCAAAGATGTGCCTCTCTTTCCATCAAATCCCAGTGATACAAAAAATGGGCAACTCTTTTTTCCTTGCCCCCGTTAGTGAACCTGTGGATGTACAAAGTAGCCAGTCCTGGAATTAGCAAGCACACGCCCATGGCGGTGAGTCTGGGAGAATCTTGAACCACATCTCTGCCCTGTTACCTAGGCTAAACCCGACCTTACCTAGGTCCTTCTTAATAGGAGCTTCTACTGTGGTTATCTTGTTCCTGTCTTATAATTACATATTAGAGGGGCAGGGAATTTTAAATATGTTTGTATATAACCAAACTGTAAAGAACTTTAGATGAGAAGACTTCATATCATCCAGAGATGCTGGACTTTGAGCTGTATGCATGAACTGGATCAGACTTTAGCGTGTGTCCACAGAATGAGGAAAGAAGGGTATATACAGATATTTGGTGAAAAGAACAAACTGAGGAAGAGGCAAAATTTCTCCTCCCTCTTCCATATTATAAACCAAATTTCATCTAGCCTAAGATTCCATTGATTGTAAAGCATGTGTTGTATATGTACTACCAAGAAAGGAAAAATGCTGCCAACCAAATCTGAGTTTACCTTGAACAATAAACTTGTCATTGATTGAACAATACGTTCCTATTGAAGAGATGTTAAAGTGTGAAAACAATGTGCAAATCCAGATTGATAAAAAACTAATTTTTCAGGCCGGGTGCAGTGGCTCATGCCTGTAATCCCAGCACTTTGGGAGGCCGAGATGGGCAGATCACCTGAGGTCGGGACTTCAAGACCAGCCTGACCAATATGGAGAAACTCCATCTATACTACTAAAAATACAGAATTAGCCGGGTGTGGTGGCACATGCTTGTAATCCCAGCTTCTTGGGAGGTTGAGGCAGGAGAATTGCTTGAATCTGGGAGGCAGAGGTTGCAGTGAGCCGAGATGGAGTCATTGCACTCCAGCCTGGGCAACAAGAGCGAAACTCTGTCTCAAAAAATAAAACAAACTAATTTTTCTGAGAACTGGCTGTTCCATCAGAGACTACATTTCTCACCCCCTTGCATCCAGCTGTTGCCTGGAGACTGGTTCTCATCAATAGAGTGGACTTGAAGTGTGTCACTTCCAGGCCAGGCTCTTTAAGACGCGGGTAACTTCTCCACACTTTCTTTTTTCTTCCCTGGCTGACATCAGTTGACAATGAGGTTTAGGAGATGGCAGAGCTACAGGGAAAACAAAAAAAACCTTGATTTCTGAATCACCAAATGGAGGAAAGCCATCTACAGACCCAGATGGAGGAACACCCATCCTGGTCTGTGATGTAAGCAAGAAGTAAACTTTTATTTTATTTAAGGCATATATTTTCAGTATTTATTTGTTACCACAGTTAATGTTATCCTAATTAACACCTCTGTTGCTTGGGTTGTTGTAAGAATTAAAGAAATTACCATGTGTTAAGTTCTCAGAAGAGTGTCTGACATAGAATAAACACGAAATTAATGTTAATTATCATTATTATTTAGAATTCTCTTTAAAAATGCAAACAGCCTTGGAGAGGTACTCTTCACCTTTCATTTCTGGGATTTACAAAGTTACAGTTGCAAACATTTTCTATACTAGAAGGTAGTATTAAATAACAGTCAAAATTCTGTCTTTTTAGAGAAAATTAAATTTAGTCAATCCCTGGGAAGACTTATGATTTGCTCTGAAGTCACTTGGTCAGTCATAAGCACTTTAGTATGAGTGAGTTGTTTTCTGTTTCAGCCAGGAAGGGGCGGGCCGCTGTAGGAATGAGACTGTGGATAGGGAGAAGGTGTGCAGATTCATCCAAAGATGCTTATTCAAAGGTAATAAATGTATTTTGGATACTTGGCACAAAGTCCCCTTCTCTGGAACTTAGCCCCGATAAGCCTCTGTTGAAGAGCTCAGCCAAAGTGGTCACTGATAAAATGTATCCTAGTCCCTCTGCCACGGCAGATGTAAACAGGGTTGAACACCTCACCCAGGCTGAGACAATCAACATCTTTTCTTTTCAATGTGGAACTGGCTCTCTGAAAGTTTGTGCTGGCTGCCGGGAGCCTATCTGTCACGTAGCATCGTGTCTGGGGGCAGTTTTATGGCCCAACAAAAGTCACGTGCAGAGCCAAATCACAAGAGAGCAGAAATTTTGAATAAGTCAAGGGATCTGGTCTGCTGAGATAAGAATGGGGCAGATATTCAGAACAGAGCAGAGGAAAGAGGCCATGAGGCTGCCAGGACTTCTGCAGCATGGACCCCAACCCGACAGCTCACCAGTTCCCATCTGCAGCTCCCACGAGGCTGGACTGAATCATGTTTTCATGGTTCTGGTGTCCTTAAAAATAAACGTACTTTCAAAATATCTGAGCCAGCTGATTTAGTTTCTGTTTTTTTGATCAAGAACTTGGCGATGACTAAGTCACTAAAATAAAAATCTCCTAACCTTGCTTGCTTACTTACTGTCAAATAATAGCAATACCACCACAAAGTTCACCTCTGCCCAGGTGGAAGGGGTTATTTAAGCCCCTTGCTACCACTGGAATGATGTCCTCCAATTTCCACTTCTAAGAGCCTAGATTTGATGTTCTTCTGAATAGTCTAATTTCCCAGAGATCCTCTTAGTAGTCATTTGAATGACAGGATCACATTTTTCATATTTCTGCCACAAAAGATCAAATAAACCAAAGTTTTAGATGTCTTCCTATCGCAATTTTTCTTTTTGGTGGAAGATGGGTGGAAGGGGAGTGTTTTTTATTCTAATATATGCTCATTATAGAAATTTTGATGATACAAACCTAAGTATAAAACTTTTAAAAATCACAGTTTCTCCACCAGTATATAACCATCAGTAATTTTTAGGACAAAATCCCTACAATGAAGAAAACGTAATCACATCCTGAATTGCCCTCGAGAATTCATGTTATTTTACTGGTTGCATTTCTTCATGTGCTCATAGACACTTTCTTCAAAGAATTTACCAAGGGCCAGAATTGGATTCACTGGGAAATGCATTTGGAAGCAGGCTTCTTTATTCTTTCCGATAACCAACAAATACATTTACTTTATTCAGCCTCTTTGTTCTTCAGGAAATGAAAAGAAATCATTATCTAATTGAGATATCCTGTATGTCATAGAGACAAGGAGATTTAAACCATGTCCCTAGTTCTTTATATTCTGTCATCTGCTTTTTATCAGCAGTTTAATAGAAGCATATTCTTTACTTCCTAGCTGTCCGCTTGTATTTCCTGTTAAGACAGCATATCTAAAATGACTTCAATTCCCAAAGGCTCTGGAATCATGTTTTGTTTTTTCCTCCTTATTTTGAGGTTTCATTGGGCTCACCACTGTTCATTTTCTTTTCTTCTTCTTTTTCTTTTCTTTTCTTTTTTTTAAAATGGAGTGTCGCTCTGTCTCCCATGCTGGAGTGCAGTGGTGCAATCTCGGCTCACTGCAACCTCCGCCTCCTTGGTTCAAGCAATTCACCCATCTCAGACTCCTGAGTAGCTGGGACTGCATATGTGAACCAACACACCCAGGTAATTTTTATATTTTTTTTGGTAGAGACAGGGTTTCACCATGTTGGCCAAGCTGGTCTCAAAGTGCTGACCTCAGGTAATCCGCCCACCTTGGCCTACCAAAGTGCTGGAATTACAGGTGTGAGCCACCACACCTGGCCTGTGTTCATTTTCTAAAATGCAAGATTTCATTTTGTCCTTTCTTGGGATAACATTCATTATCTTTCTTGCTCTTATCATCATCCCTTGCTGGATTTAATTAATCATTTCTTGTTTTATTTATAATATTTTAGGAATGAATTATATGAGCCCATGTGACTTGCTCCTCACACCAGTGATTTATTGTTTGAGTGAAATTCCACTCTTTTACTAATCAAGGTAGGAGTATATCTTTGAGTTTTAGAGGCGACTTGCCTTCCTTCACACACATGATTTTTACAATTAGCCACATTTACCTCTGTTTTCCACTAATAAAAGGGATACAGTCCAAATACGAAATTTCTTAAAATCTGTTCACCCTCCACTGTGGTTTTCTGTTTTCTGTTTTTCACTGTGAATTTCAAGTTGGTTTGGAGGGGCTGCTTAGGAGGATAACATTCTCTTGACTGGTTGCCAGCATTCCCATTCTGCTTAATCGTTATCATTTTTTAAATGGGTAAAGATTCACACTTCACTTTTTTTTTTTTTTTTTTTTTTTGAGACGGAATCTTTCTCTGTCACCAGGCTGGAGTGCAGTGGTGCAATCTTGGCTCACTGCAACCTCCACCTCCTGAGTTCAAGCGATTCTTCCGCCTCAGCCTCCCGAGTAGCTGGGACTGGGACTACAGGTGCGTGCCAAACGCCCAGCTAATTTTTGTATTTTTAGTAGACACAGGGTTTTACCATGTTGGCCAGGCTAGTCTCGACCTCTTGACCTCGCAATCCACCCCCCTCGGCCTCCCAAAGTGCTGGGATTACAGGCGTGAGCCACCGCGCCTGGCCCATACTTCACTTTTTATGTGAAGTTTTTGCTAAAGTTTTGTCAGACTAGAGATAATTTACTTAATCTGATCACACTTGACTGCCAACCATCATAACTGAGGTTCAGAGCTTCCAGTCATAGGTAGCTAGGACAGCAGCTAGGACAGGTAGAATACAGGAGAGTCCTTCAATGCTCAGCAAACAAATACTTACGGGATTCCTACTGTGTGTTGGACACGGTTAACCTTGAACAGGGTGGACACCATCCCTGCACTCATGGAACTCAGGGTCAGGTGGGGAAGGTGAGCAGATACCATGTGTTGCAATACCCTGCATTAGCATCTGTGACTGGGGTGAGCACAGTGTTGGAGGGGCATGACAGAAAAGGGATGTGTGTGCTATAGAGACTCGAAGGACTAGAAGGGGGAGGCAGAGCGGAGGGCATTCTTGAACCCGGGAAGTGGAGGTTGCAGTGAGTTGAGATCACAGCACTGACTGCATTCCAGCCTGGAAGACAGAGCAAGACTCTGCCTAAAAAAATAAATAAATAGGCCGGGCGCGGTGGCTCAAGCCTGTAATCCCAGCACTTTGGGAGGCCGAGGAGGGTGGATAACGAGGTCAAGAGATCGAGACCATCCTGGTCAACGTGGTGAAACCTCGTCTCTACTAAAAATACAAAAATTAGCTGGGCATGGTGGCGCGTGCCTGTAATCCCAGCTACTCGGGAGGCTGAGGCAGGAGAATTGCCTGAACCCAGGAGGCGGAGGTTGCGGTGAGCCGAGATCGCGCCATTGCACTCCAGCCTGGGTAACAAGAGCGAAACTCCGTCTCCAAAAAAAAAAAAATTAAAAAAAAAAAAGAAAGAAAGAAAGAGAGAAAGGAAAGAAAAGAAAATGAACAGAGGTGAGCTCAATGAAATGCCAAAATAAGGAGAAAAAAAAAACAAAACAAGATTCCAGAGCCTTTGGGAATTGAAGTCATTTTAGATGTGCTGTCTTAATAG